GCTTGGGCTTATAACAAATGCGATTACTGCTGCAGAAGAGGCACTAACTTAAATCACCTAACTTAATACTGTTCGAAGTTTTCCTTACTTAAATATCTAATTCAATATCTGGAGACCGATAGCTGTGACACGATGACCTGGTCGCATACTGTAGCTGATAATCGAAACTTTCCCATGCTGCTGGTTCCCTGAAGATGGACAGAAAGAATATAATGAAAAATAAGACCTAAATACTAGAGCGAGATCGATTCAGGAAGTTTACTTTGTACTTTTCATTCTCTTACACAATTTTCGTTCATTCAAAGCATTGGAGCGATTTGTTAGAAATTTTTGGAAGACAAAATTGCAGACGCTTTGACAAAGGAATGATTCATGATGGAATAATTTGCCATGATTAGTCAGCTGAACAAATATGTAGCACCACAACGCACTTTTCAGGTGAGTAGGGGCAAAATTTGCAGAAATCGCTCGGAAAAATGAAAGCCATATCCTGATTATGAGATGACGTGGCGTCCGGTGTTGAGTATTTTCATTCACTAACGGATGTATGCTTTCCACGTGTATTATATCAGCTCACTGTCTGTTTCCAGAAATCACCCGGTAACCTTTATGAAAGGACACATTTTTATCTGAGTTTAGCCATATAAAAGCATATCTGGAAGGGCAGTATGTCACCATTGGCAGAAATGTTCTACGCTACCATACTTCCACTCGTTTCACTGCTCTTCCCATATGTGGGAGCTCAGGTTGGATGACACGATCGCTTATATCAGGGCTGATCGAATGCCCACATAAACTTCAGCGTATCACCATGAATTTTTCAGTACGGTGGTTACAATCCATGGAACTCATATGGTCCAAGCTACAATCCAGCTCCACAGATCCCTTATCGGGTGGGTTCCGGAGAGTTTTCATGAACTGCCACAGCATCTTTTTGTTACCCAATACATAGTGCGCAAGCACTTTTTCCAAAGCGTGGTGCTCTGTTCGTCTAACAATAGGAGAAACGTTTGACTGAAATGTTTCCGGTCAGTAATCACTAGATAGCAAGAGAGAATCCACCTTAGATCTTTTGGGTGCAGTATGTTACCTACATATATTGATTTAAGTACAATGGCTACAATCGATGGAATCCACTTGGTTCTAACTTCAACCCGGTCCCACAAAGCACTTTTCAAGTAAGTTCAATTTGATCCCTGAAATTTACCTTGCTGAGTTACGTTATTTTCAGGGTGGCGTGTTCAGTCCCGACTGGGGAAAGAAACTACAAGAGAAGATAGAGCAACAAATCAAGAACAGCCTGAAACATTCCGGCAACGGAAATGACAATAATGGCAACATATCAATCAATAACAATGGTGGCAATATAGAAATCAATACAGAAAATGGTCAGACAGTAGTGAAAGCGACGATTGGCGGAAAACTGTACATGGCCACGTTCCAAGGGACCAACAACTCGATCTCCACCTCCGCGAACACCAACTATAGTAATGGGCAGCTTGAACATATATTCAAGATCACTGTAAACAACGAAACTTACATCTACACAACAATCAACGGCCAGACTACTGTCACCGACGGCCAGGGGCAGCCAGTCAGTGGACCATTCCACGTTATTTCGAACTGAGCAATCTTCATAGATTGCACCGAGCCGGAGTCAATCCTATAAATAATGGCCGCATTCGATTAGCGATAATATAGGCACTTTACATTACTTTTAAGAAATTATATCGCTAGAAATGACCGTAATAAATTTTTTGTTCAAATCAATCCAAATAACACTACAAACTACAATTTTTATATGTAATATTACATTTACATTAGGGTGCTTCTTCAGGACTACATCTGTACGAGGTTGATCTAAATACCTGTTGAAGGTGGATATAAAAAGTACTAAAATAGGGTGATTATATCGCTGACACTGGTATGGAGTTCAGATTACCAGTGTATAGGGCCAGGCGGTGCAGTCGAAACTACCCTTTCTGTCCACTGTAGTAGGACCGTACCTCGGAAGTGGTTGATGCAGCAACTTTATGATTCATGGATAAGTTTCCACCACCTCTACATCACTTACACACCTTTGAAAAGGATTGTTTTGTTTGCCCTTCCATAGAGACTAAAGTGCAGTTTGAGAACTGGAACAGGTTACGTTAAATGATGCGAATGCTACAAAAAAATACTTCAGCAGTTGATTGCTTGCCTAGGTCGACTGGCATCATTCTTATTTACAGTGTCTACTGACTACTTGAGTTGTCTGCTATCGATTTCACTTTCGAAGTAGCCGTATATAGGCGCCTACAAGTTCATCTACTCATCGGCTGGGAAGATGTACGCTGCAATTCTCCCCATTGTCCTCTTATTCACGGCTCGAATTCATGCTCAGGTTTGCATTAGTTTCATTACTCAAAAATAAGCTAAAGATTTTGCTATTTTCTGACAATCTTCAGCAGTTGATTGCTTGAGGAAACTATTCGCTTGTATACGCGTAACATATCCTTCCCTCTTGTTTATTCGACCCTGTAGCGCTGAACTGTTTCCCCGCATTGGGCACGCGCTCCTTTCGAGTCTGGCCACTTGGGCGCTGAAACCCATCGAAACTTGTGTTAAGAACGTGGCCTTGAAACACCTCTTGAGGGATTCTACTCGCTCCCCTTTCCTACCTCTCGAAACAAGAAGCTTGAACATTAGCTTGAACAGCGCCAAGCTTGAGGGATATGTGCAGTAGACCGTCAATAAATATCCAGCCATTACACTACAATAGTAAAAGTAGTTCTGTAATAGCAGTTCCTCATATAAAATGGGTGCTCACCTTTTGAAAAAAAGGAAGTGATTCTTGTAAGCATGAAAGAAACATGTATCAGAGAAATTGAGTAGTGCAGCGATTTGAAGATATCGTACCTGAGGGAGGCTAGAAACCGATAGTCTACTCCCAAAAGTGAACAGGATTTTGTGCACTGTGAACATTATTCCTTACTCCTTTACGTACCGCTAATTTCAGGAAGTTGAGGTAGTACAGGTTCCAGTTCCAGTCCCAGTACCTAGTCCTGTGGCGGTTCCGGTACCCACTCTATCATTGGCTGCCGAACCCAGCTCAGGGTCGGAGACCGTATCCAATTCGGCTTCGTCCAGTTCTTTTTCGTCCAGTTCATTTTCGAGTGCTGCATCCAGTCCGGCAATGGCAGCTGTACCAAGCCCCGAGCTGATGGCAATTCCGCCGGAACCTATACTAGTGAGTCGAATATATGAACGCACCATATCCCTACTTTTTTTGTTTGTCAGTTATTTAACGACTCCATTCAGGCTATGACACCCGGTGGTCCTGGAACGGTCATCAGTACAAAAGACGGGAATACTTTAGTTACTGCCACAATTGGTGGGAAACGTTATACTGCCCAATTTCCTGGTGAAACCAATTCGATCTCCACCTCTTCATCAATGGAGGATGTCAATGGAAGATCCGCATCAGTATTTACAATAACAGTCAACGGCAAAACATACATCTACAAGACGGTAGACGGTAATACAACTGCCACTGATGGTCAAGGGAATACCCTCAGCAATGGAGGTCCATTTGGTGTTATTTCCGGTTAGACTTGTCACCTTTTATGTAGGCAGATGATAGACATGGCCAGCATTTCAACAAGTTTTACGGACATCATTAAACTAAATTTTATTATATTTTGTACATTTAAACAACTTTTTGATGAACATGTAATAAATGACGTTTATCAACAGTGAAAGTCATGGCACTGAATGACATCGCCATCTTGGCAGTAGAAAGAACAGTATGAGCAAGAAGTTTGAAGAAAGTTGACAAATGAGATTCGATTAATGTATCGCTACAGAACGCTATCGAACGCTTTACAGCGAACAGCAAATTTATCGCCTGCGAAAACGTAAAAGGTTCAAGGCCCCGAATATTCCGCAACGCATTTAGTAATTGCAAGAGAAGGAATAAAAACTCAACAAAATCGATAAAATTGCAGCTTAGGAATTGGACAATGCATGAAAAAACTCGACAAATCCAATCTAGTTCGAAACGAAGATAATCGAAAAAAGGACCTACCGAGCCGAAAGAAATGTTGCGATTGAAATTTGCCAAGACTTGAACTCCGAAGGAATTTGAATTTCAAAANAAAACCCCAAAATTTCGGGAAAGAGGTGTGAATTTAAAATGTCGGAGATGCTATAATAGAATGTCGACTACATATACATATATGTAGATCTGACTTCTACTTGTAATGGACGGAGGTGGTGTAGTGGCAAGTAGTACACTATCACACACGTACGTCATAGGTTCGAATCCCGGATCGATATTCGGTAAGGCCAATCAAACCTTCCATCCCTTCTGGGTTGTTTAATTGGTACCAGACTCGTTTAGGAGGATGTAACTACTTACTCGTAAACTGGCTGGCCACACCATGTCATTGCATAGGCTACAGACATTCACTCTAAATAGAAGTTGGATGCCAGACGTATCCCTTGTGCGGGACTAATTGAGAGACATGCCCTTTATACTTCAATACTCCATTAAAGCGAAATTCGATGTGCTGCTTTCCTTGGGTATCTGTATCACTTGTATCCGACTTATCTTCGCAAACTTCGCCATTCACGCAAGTCGACTTTGAGCCATCCGTTCCCGTCCTGCGCACGTCGTCTTCATTTTTGGAAGCATATTCACCATAGGATCGGCCCACCTCAATTTAGGCTTTCCCGGCGCTTGCTTATGACCCGATGCGATCCAATTCGTTAGCCGAAAGGTTCAACGGTTATCTTTCAAACGTGCCACATGACCGGCCCATTCTCGTTTACGTTCATACATTTTCTGGACAACATCAACAAGGCCACTTTGTCTTCGCAGCCTTGTATTTGTGATATGTTCACAAAGTGACATTTTGCAAATTCTGCGTTCCATTGATCTTTGCATCACAGCAAAATTCTCCTCGTCTGCCTCTGTAGGCGACCAGCATTCCGCGCCGTATAACAGCGCGGGTATCATCGTCGAGTGAAACAAGGAGCTAGACCAAGCTGCTTTCCTGCGCCTACTTTACTCTGCGGTGCTGCCTTCTGTAAAGTTGTGTCCGAGGTACTTGAGGCTTTTTGCTTCTTCGATGTTTTCGCCATTTATTTTGACAGTCGCTGTTGGACTGAGCTGATTGTGCGTCCACTTCGTTTTGGACAAATTCACTCCAAATCCGATTTTGCTCGATTTCATCTGTAATTGCACAAGTTTCTCGTGGAGCTCTAGGGCATCATGCGTAAAAATGACGCAATCGTCAGCAAAAAGCAAATAGGTCAGGTGTTCTCCATCGATCTGCTGGGAATTCTTCATTAAGAAAGAACCTTCAAAGAAAAGATTATTATTCATACAACTAGAACCTATTGTTAATTGTGCGGCACCTCCATACACTTTCAAAAGAGGGAGGTTGAATGACTCAGTTGACCAGGGCGCTTCTGCAAAAAATGCTCAACCTCAACTTTCAGGTCAGAAACGCCTCGGTAAAGTTTCGTTTTTGAAAATTTCTGTCAAAACAAAGGATGAGCATCTCACGTACACATGGAGTAATCCAATAATTGTCGAAGAGCCCTTTGTACAGATAAACGAAGTGATGCGACAAGACACAGTGAGACCGCACGGCTCAGTCTTCTTTACGAATGGCTTGCTCTGCGGGTGCAATTGATGAAGTATTCCACTTGCTCTGAACATGTCTCCTATGAAGTTTACCTATTTAAGTACAGCGCTATTGGGTGGCAAGGCTGTCGTACAATAGATTACCGTATTCACTGTTGTCATAACTTCTTCATTCAACTTCTCGCTAATCTCCAATAGGTACAGATTGATCAGAATCGGTAGAAAAATAAATGGTAAAAGACTCTTGAAGTTCATGGGTGAAACTCTTGAAGACCTCAATATTCATGAGAAGAACGACGATGTTCCTCCTCGCGATGTTCTAATTGTAAGCCCTTCACTCTCACCATGTAATCAGAGGAGACAATTGTGATCCTTGTTCGCCATTCAAGGGTTTCACAGTCGGTGATGAAGTTGTTCTCTATAGCATCGCGTGATATCACGAAAAGCGTTTGTCACAATTCGTTCACTCCTACATGGTTTTCACGTCATGTTCGCACCAACGTCTGGCAAAGCACTTCGCTTGTAATGTACAAAAATTTTTTATGACTCATTGAATAGCCCAAAAAAGGAATTCGGGGTGTTGCTGCAATCCTTGTGAACTTCAAGCCCTGAAGGGCGAAATAACCACTCACCAAAGCCGAAAGAAATAGTTCCCATGCTACTATTTTAAGATTTTTTTCATTCACTCCTGTCTTTGATCAATTGGAAAAGAATGGCAATCTATCAAGGAGTTTTTCAGAACACTTCGGATAGGACGAGTCCTGAACGAGACCTGGACTTCTTGTGCTTTCAGGTAGGATGTCTTCTAGTATGTAGCATTTTATGTGCCCTTCACTGTGGTAGTCGTTTCCGTTGTTATATTGGCTATATAGCAAATAGAGTGGGACTGGGATAGAAAGTTGAGGTGATGTATTAAACAGTTGAGGGTATGCAGACGTATCCTTTAGTAAGGGTCGTTCAAGCCTTGTTTACAAAAAATAAAAATCGACTCAGTGGGAAAATTCTGAACAATATTAATAGTTGCCAAGAAAACTTTCCTTTTTAGTTGCCAGATGTTGATGCATAATGAGTTTCACTGGTTTCTTTTACTTAATCTAGGATTCAAGATCTTCAATGAGCTCTCATAACGATCCTTTAGTAACTGGAAAAACCCATGATGTAATTAAAGACGATTTCTCAGTAGAAAGAACTTGCTTATTTTTATCTAATGGATACCACTAAATGAATTACAATCCGCAATGCTAACATTTTGATTAAATGGTTTCAAATTCCTTTATTGAGAGCGACCGGTCTGTTTTGGGTTGTTTGATGGTTTGAGCTTTTATCCAGCAACGCCCTAAAAATAGATAGAAAAATGTTGGAACGTAAAGGCACATCATACAATCAAGAAATCATCGAATGGAAATTTTGTATATTTCACTCTCACAGAGAATATATCTACCCGGTACTGTATAGAATTGCCTGGCCGGTCATCTTATGAAATCTTCGGGCACGCAGGGTTTGATCGCCATTTTATCTATCTCAGATACAAAGATGGGAATATGAGGTGCTACCAAAGTTGTTCGCAAAGATCGCTATTAGGTTACAGTCCTTGATGAGGTTCAATTGGGACTCACAAAGAATAACTTGATTCTGCTCCCAAACGGGAGGTAACTTAACAGCTTTCCAAGTGGGAGGTCTGGTGAACTTATCTAAAACGCGAAACCGCTAGAAGATACGGATAAGGGTGAGAGGTTGAATCGAACGCAAAAGTTGACCCTAGAAGAACGATTGAAAAGAAAAATCACATTGGAACTTACTGATATGAATGGAATACTCAAACTGAAAGGCGTTCCAGCTTTAACAGGCATAGGGATTGCCAGGTTCACCATCGATGATGGTGCAGCTCCTTTCTAGGGAAACGAATTACATTCTCTTCAATCCTAAATTTTGCTCCCCACCCGACAGTAAGGCAAAAAAGGTTACAAACCTTCGCACAAACCACGATACAGGCAAAGATGACCAGAATAAGTACTGTAGTCCTGAATATTCCCGCTGATATTCTGCGACTCATACCTGAAAACACCGTGAACAGCTGATTCGAAGTGAAAATCGATGGAAGGCGTCTCACAAAGTTAAGAAATCATCAGATACATATGAATGATAACCTTTTATATCGGTACAGATCATTGTAAATCCATTAGCTTCCGTATCTTTAAGCGATTACAAATGGCATGACATATAAAGAATTTTAAAAGGCGATCATTGCAATGGAATAACGACATTTCCATATAGAAAATGAAGGGATCTCTTTTTCGGTTACATGGTGAATACAAAATGGATCTTAAGCTTATGATATTGAAAGCCATTTCATATTAGGAGCTAGCAAATCAGAAATTCCCCTCCAACTTAGACAACAACGATTTCTGTATAGCTCTCCTTTTTCTGATTTTCCACCGCTTCTGAACTGAAAGCATTTGTAACTTCTAGAATGAGTTCTTTTCCACATTTCTTCCGTAGCGCTTCACGGGATGAATAAGCGGTAGGAGTCTAGTAGAAAAAGGAATAACTTGTAGGTATTGATGTGTCATTGTTCACGCTGTGCAGCTCGACAGGCTCTGAAGTAGATCCTGAATAGATTCCAAGCAGGTAAGGCTGCTGAGCCGATGTAGAAAAAGGGCTTATTCAAGAGAGGCTTACCGAATCGCCATAAATAATGCTTACCGCTTGTACGAATGTATGGAAATGGAAATATCTTTCTACTAGGTAGTTAGGTAAGTCTCATTGTATACCTATGAGTAGCTTGGCAGGTTCTCCCGATAGATAACGAGCAGTAATAACCACACCCTCTCCACAAACTCTCCACACAACAAACTCTCCACACATGGAGAGTCGCATGTATGCACGTGCATAATTTGCATGTGCGGATATGCCTACGTGGAGTAAGAAATTCTCCACCAGCAAAGAAGTCCTCCCCTTG